AAATATATTGTATTCATGTTTGTTATCATGTTTTCTTATGTTTATCTTTTATTTATATTTTTAGTTTTTAAATATAAACATTAAAGCAAAAAAAAAAATAGTTTAACATTTTTGTATATTTAATATACAGTATATATATATATATAATATCAGTAATATTATTAATGATAGTTTTAATAATAATAATACTAATATTGATTTATTATTAATATTATAACATTTTTTTTGTATGTGTCTATATGTACAACATGTGTACATTATATAACAACATACTGTATATAAGTTTGCATTATATATATATATATATATATATATATACTGTATATATATATAGTAATTATGTAAAACAAGATTAATAATAATTATATAGTTTCATATGTATAGTACATATGTATACATAGAAAATGACAAATTTAATTATTTATTTTTTGGTTACATATATATATATATATTGCAAACTTATATACACTATGTTGTTATAAACATATATAATAAAAAAATATATATATAGACTATAATATAGTGTGACAAACAACAATAATAATAATTATACATTAAAATTATTATTATTATAAATTTATATAATTACATTAGCTATACATAAACAATTTGTTTGTTTTTTTGCAATTATTTTCAAATTAAAAACTATAACAAATTATAACTTTATATATGATTTTATTTTATCTTGTTTTTGATGATTAAAGTAATTAAAAGTTAATGTTTTGTTTTGTAATAAAATAAAACTTTTACTACATTTACTCTATATATATATATATATAAAACAATTTTTATAATATTTATTATCTAATATTATAGATTTGACTTTTTCATGACAAATAAACATTTATTTTTTGTTGTTATTTTTTTAATATATATAAAAAAATTTATATATATAGATACATATAAATATAATAAAAATTAAATATAAAAAATAAAAGTTTAGATTTTTGTTTTGTTTTTCAACATTTTAATGTTTTATTTTTATAAATATTAAGTAAAATTTAATATTATTAGTAATTTAACTACAAATAATATATTGATTTAGTATAAATCAATTTTAAGTGTATTGTTTGTGTACTTTATATTTAAATGTTTAAATTTTATGTATATATATATATATATACAAGTTAAAAAACTAATTGATTGGGAAATTATTGCTTAAATTTTATTTATTTTCCTATAAAATAATAATAATAATAAAAAGTTTCACTAACTTTTAAATTGTAACAAATTTCAACAAAATAAAAACAAATAAAATAAAAATAAATAGACCTAACAAACAATAAATAATAAAAAAATATGTCTACTAAATTATCTACGCTATACTAACTACAATACACACACAAATACATACACATACATACACATACACATACACATACACATACACATACACATACACATACACATACACATACACATACACATACACATACACATACACATACACATACACATACACATACACATACACATACACATACACATACACATACACATACACATACACATACACATACACATACACATACACATACATACATACAAACATGTGATGATGTGTTTAGCAGTGATGCGTAACTCCTATTTTAAATGATTTTATTTTATTTTTTTGTGTTAGCCCGAGATTAACCCTTAAAGACTATAAATCATTACCAAAAAAAAATCAGACCTCAGATAAAATAATAATAAAACAAAAAAAAACAAATTTCACTATTACTTTGTGTTTCGATGTATATAATAATAATAATAATAATAATAATAATAATAATAATAGTAATAAAATATAAATTTAAGTAAAATTTATAGGACAAATATCTATTGATATATAGTTATATATATATATATTGATAGTAATGACCATTAGGGTGTGTATTATTATAAGTATATTATATTTATAAATAATTTTTTTCTTATACTTTATGTAATAATTTATTTGTAATATAAATTGTAGCTATAATTTTAGTTTTTATTTTTATTTTATCATTTGTTTTATTTTAGATTAATAGTTTTATATAAAATTATATATAATTTAGATATATTGAAATATTTTATATACTTTATATATATATATTAATACAATATCTATAATTTTGTGTTTTTTATAGATACATATATATGTTTGTTTTTTATTTATTTTCAATTTATCGACCATTTAATTGCAGTATGTTTTCAATTTATATGTGTGTTTGACAATTAAATATTATTATTATCTATAAATAAATTAAATATATACACTTATATATATGCAATACTTTTTTGAGAGAAAAAAAAATTGATTTTCAATGTCTATTATGTTTTCAGTACTGTATAAAAATATTTATACATACTTTATTTTTTTTTTAATTTTATTATTTTAATCTTTAATTAAAAACAATGAATTTATATATATATATATATAAAAATATATTCATTTTTTAACATACATATTTGAATTAAATTAAATTAATTTTTATTTTTAATTATTTGCTGTTTCTAAAGTAAACATAATTTTTAATTATATACAGGGTATTATATATATATATACAGTATATATATATAAATTACTTAAACTGTAAAAAAACGTTTAAATAAACAGAATCTAATAATTTCAAATAAATATATATTATATATATATATAATAAATTGGATTATTATTAAAATTGTTTTTATTTTTTGATCTACTATATTCATATATTTTTTATATATATATATATATAATACTATGTTATCATCATCATTATTATTATATGTTAAACTGCAAAATAACATTTTCCTAGAAAATAAAATTATCTACAATTATAATAATAATAATAATAATATTCTTTCCTAGATAAAATCATTATTTTACAATATATTTTACAATATGTGTATATATATATAATAACACAATATTATAGATAGTTTTATATACAGAATATACAGAATATATAGAATATACAGAATATACAGAATATACAGAATATACAGAATATACAGAATATACAAAATATACAGAATATACAGAATATACAGAATATACAGAATATACAGAATATACAGAATATACAGAATATACCGAATATACAGAATATACAGAATATACAGAATATACAGAATATACATAATATACATAATATACATAATATACATAATATACATAATATACATAATATACATAATATACATAATATACATAATATACAGAATATACAGAATATACAAAATATACAGAATATATATATATATTGTATTATATAAATAATTATAACAAAATAAGATTTATTATATGAATAGTCTATATATATATAATAATAATAAAATTCTATATAAAAATACTATTCAACTGTAAATGTTATTTAATTTTTTGTGTGTTTAATACTAACTAAAATCTCTCTCTCTCTCTCTCTCTCTCTCTCTCTCTCTCTCTATCTATCTCTCTCTCTCTATCTATCTCTCTATCTTATTGTCACATAAATAACAGTTGACTAATTGAATACAATTACTGAATAATAAACATAATTAACAGTTATTTTTATATCTTCAGATATAATATATAGATATATATCGGTATAATATAAAGTATATATATTTATAAATATATATATATACTGTAATTTACTGTATAGTTCATTCATTTGTTATTCATTGTATTATTTTTCAAGTTAAATATATATATATATATATATACAGTATAATAATAACAATAAAAATTATGTGTCTTTTTATTAAAAAATATAACAATGATTTAACAGGTGTGCAGACATGTGATAATAATATTAATTTATATGTTAGATATATATATATATATAATATTTAATTAATATTAGATTCAATATATATATAAGTATAATATATGTTAATTAGTAATTTGTGAATTAAATTCAAATTATATAATATAACATATATTTATACAAAAATAAATAATATTTAGTATAAAAATCTTAACTATTCCTTAATCAATGCTTTTAATATATTACAGACACTTTATTTTATGTATTATTATTATTATTATTATTACTAAGAAATTTAAATTGATTTTTTTTAAAATATTAAATTATATAAAACTAGTACTTACTAAAATGTACTTGTTTAGTAATTTTAAAAAATAAAAATTTATTGAAAATCAATACGCTATACTACAGTATTATATACAGTATATGCTAATAATATAGAGTACATCATATATCATATATCTATATATTTATATATGTAAAATAATATATAAAATATTTTAAATAAATTTATTTTTTAAAATAATATTTTTCAATCATACATTTTTATATATATTCATAAAATATTAAATATATATATATATATAATATGCTATTTATTAGATAGTTAAGTTGAGATTTTTCAAATAATAATAATAATAATAATAATAAAATTTAAATGTAAAATTGTATTACTTATTATTATTATTATTATTACTATACAAATAAATTTTATATTGCTTATAATTTTTTTTGATAGACTATTATTTCTTATATAAATTTTTTTATTGAGTTTTTTTTGATGTAAAAAACATTTTGCTCAATTTATTTTTTTTTGTTTTTTTACTATTATATTTCAGATTTTATATATTTTTATTACATAATTTTTTTCATATAAAAAAAAGATATATTTTATTTTAAAAAATCAATGAAAAAAATAAAAATAAATAAATACACATATTTTAACTAATATATAGATAATAAATTTTAGTATATTTAATAATATTTTTATTTATTAATATTATTTTTAATTGTTTTTTCAGATAATTTTCGGAAATAATAATAATAATAATAAATTATATATATATATAAAGCCCTTAAAGGTATTGAATAGATATTGAATACTATATACTATAAGAGTCTATAGAAGTCTATATAACTATAGAGTCTATCATTAATATGGATTCAATAGATATAATATTTTCAAATAATAATAATAATAATAATAACTTAACTTTTTTGGGAACACCGGTAGCCTATTGGGACAATTATTCACAACAACAATACCAAACAACAAATAATAATAATAATTTTTATATTATTAATAACATGTATACTAACAACAGTACAGGTATTATCAACAATACAAGTATGACTATGACTACTACTACTACTACTACTACTACTACAAGTAGTAGTAGTGAACTACATAAGCTTAATGGCGATATAGTTATCAGTGGCCAACAAATTGCTACCTTAATAGTACCCTATAGTCTCATATTTCTATTGGCCATTATCGGCAATTCACTGGTCATTGTTACGTTGGCCGCCAATCGCCGTATGCGTTCCGTAACCAATATGTTTCTATTGAATCTGGCCGTCAGTGACCTACTATTAGGCGTATTTTGTATGCCGTTTACATTGGCCGGTGTACTACTCAAACAGTTTATTTTCGGTCCATTGATGTGCTCATTGATATCCTATCTACAAGGTATGTACGGGTGATGATGACCATAAAAATTATATTATTATTATTATTATTATTATACTAGTAATTAGTTTTATTTTATTGATTTCTAAATAAAATTTAATCTAGCATATTTTTATTGATATATTTATTGATTTAATAATTAGTAACTTATCTATTATTTATTTTTTTTTAAAAATTACTTAATAATAATTAGTTTTATTTTAGTTTTATTTTATTATTATTATACTAGTAATTAGTTTTATTTTATTTTATTTTTTAAATATCTAAATCAAATTTAATCAAGTATATTTTATAATTATAACTAAATAAATATATATATATATATATATATTTATTAATTTTGATAATTACTATTAATAACTTATCACTTTTAAAAAAATTACTTAATAATAATCGGTTTTATTTTTAATTTTTTTTTAAATTTCTAAATCAAATTTAATCAAGCATATTTTATAATTATAAATAAATATAAATATATATATTTATTGATTTTGATAACTACCAATTAATAACTAGTAATTAGTTTTATTTTTTTTTTAATTTCTAAATAAAATTTAATCAAGCATATTTTATAATTATATAAAAATAAATAAATTATTTGTTGATTTTGATAATTATTATTATACTAGTAATTAGTTTTATTTTTTAAAATTTCTAAATAAAATTTAATCAAGCATATTTTATAATTATATAAAAATAAATATATTTATTGATTTTGATAATTACTATTAATAACTATTAATTAGTTTTATTTATTAATTTCTAAATAAAATTTAATCTAGCATATTTTATAATTATATAAAAATAAATATATTTATTGATTTTGATAATTACTATTAATAACTAGTAATTAGTTTTATTTATTAATTTCTAAATAAAATTTAATCTAGCATATTTTATAATTATATAAATACAAATATATTTATTGATTTGATAATTTCTAGCTTATCGTTTTTTAAAAATTACTTTATAATAATCGGTTTTATTTTATTTTGATTTTATTATATATTTTTTTATATATAATTTATATCTATTTCCTATCTATTCTAGTATTATCAATATTATATACATAATATATATATATATATATATATATATATAGTTGAATAAATAAATAATTAATATTAATATACTGTATTTAATTTGTATTAAATCTTGTATTACAGTACAGTATATTATAGATATATTTGATATTTTATTAATATTATTATTATTATCAAAATCAGTACAATATAATACTATACTACTGTATATTATAATTATTATTATATACGTATATTAAATTACATTAAATACATATCTATGTCATCAAAATAATATTATATAAGATTTATTTATTTATTTTTTTGTTTGTTTGTTTGTAATATTATCATATTTAGACTGATTAGTAAATTTATCTATATTTTTTTGTTTGTTATGTTTTATTTTGTTTTTTTTAATGATAACATGATATTTTTAAAAAAAAATATTATTATAATAATATATATATATTTAAGCAAAAATATAATTGAATGTATTTTATTATATATATATTTATTTATTTGTGATATACATGCTTAGAAAATTTTTATTATATATATATATATATATATTTATTTATTTATTGTATACATACACTAATAGTTATCTAATGGTAATCTAGTTTATTTAAATAAATGCAGTTAAAATTGATATATATATTTTTTGTTTGTTATGTTTTGTATATATATATATATATTTGTTTTTACTATTTTTGTTGTTGTCAATAAAGAAAATCAAAATAAATAAATAAATAATAAATCTAATAAAATAAATAAATAAAAGCCACTTGACTTAACTATATTAAGTTTATCCAATAATATAAATATATATCAATAGTATATATGTTTTATGTATATTCAAACAAACATTGGTTATTTACAAAATAATAACTTTATTATATAAATACATAATTAAATTTATTTATTTATTTTATTGATAACATTATTTTAATAGTTATTTTCTATCATTCATATACAATATACTGTATATAAATAATAATAAATTGTTTATTTAAAATTGTCCCTGACACATGTATCAAATATTTTTTATATCTATATATTGACGATAATATTATAGCTTAAAATATTTCAAAATTATTTTTTTCAATTAATAATAAATATCTAAAATGTTTTTGTTTGTTTTATTAAGATGATAATAATTATATAGTAATTATTATTAGTTTTATTTAAATATAATATTAGTTGAAAAATAAATAAAAATTAATTAATTAACCAAAAAAATGAAATATAATAAATCTAATTATTATTTTATTTTTTATTATATATGTACAGTATATATATATATATATATATATATAATGCATATATATATAAATATAAAAATTATTTTTATATACTATTGTAATTGTATTACAGTTATATTAATATCATTGAATTAGATATTATTTATCAACTATTGTACAATAAAAATATTTTTCTCTATTTTTTTGTTGTATTATATATTTAGTTATATAATATTGTATAATAAAAATAATAATTTTATTATTATTACAAAAAAAAATTAATTCACATTTTTGATTGCTAAAACAATTTATTTGTATAATATATAAATAACTAAAATAACTTAAATAATTACAATAAATATTATGTTATTGTAAATATCATATTATTATTATTATTATTATTATTAACTAAAATCAAATAATAATAATAATTTCAAGCTTATTTTTTGTTTATTTTATTTATTGATTTTCTAATATATAATCTTATTTATATATATATATATAAAATTACATTTATTATATTTATTTATTTTTTACATTACATTAAATAATATTTTTTTATATATATAATCTGAAATCATTGAATTGTATGTTTCTATAGAAAATAATAATGAAATTATAAATACTGTAAATATTTTTTTTTGTAAAAAAAATAATAATCATAATAAGATTTTTAGCTTTAAATTTATCATCATCATTATTTATCTAGATGCTTCAATAAGCATATATAATTATATATTATATTATATATAATTATATATATATGATATTACATTTGATATGATAGTCTAAAATATTAAATAAATTATATATTAATTTTTTTATTATAATTATATATGACTTATAAACTTATAAATTGTTTGAAAATATTTTTGTTTTGTTTATATATATATATATATATAAATCTAAAATACCAACTAAATAATTTACACAATACTTTACACAGTATATATTTATATTAATATATATATACTGTATATATATATATATGTTAAATATATAGTTGAAATAAAAAATTAATTTTTAATTTGCTTTTACTAACAATGCATATATTCAGGGTATTATAAAATATTTTTACAATACACTTGAGAGAGACTATACATAATAATTTATATTTATATTTATATATACATTATATATAGTGTATATATATATATATATATATATATATATATATATATATATATATATATATATATATATATATATATATATATATATATATATACTGTATATATGAACAGTATGTTTATGAGTTAGTTTTTCTTAGTATATATTGATTAGCCATTTATGAGATATAAAAACGATATATAAAATTTAAATAATAGCAAACAAACAAACAAAAAATTATAATCATTAAAATTTTTATTTATTATTATTATTATTAGTTTGAATACTATAAGTTTTATGGTGTATACATACAATATATAACTTATATATATATATATATATATATATATATATATTTATATACTGTAGTAAGTATCTAACTGTAAATTTATATATGTATATTGAAATTTTTAAAGTATATTTTCACATAATTTAAATAATTTATACATTTATTATGCACAAACATTTTCACACATTTCACACACATATATATATATATATATAATAATTTAATAAATTGCAAAACATTTTCATAAATTATAAATGATTATATATATATATATATATATACTTTATATCTAATATTTTATTATATATACATATATTAATTTAAATATTAAGTAATGCAAAAAATATATATGCATTAAAATATATGTCAATTATTATTATTATTATTATTATTATTATTATTATTATTATTATTATTATTATAAATTAGAAAATAGTTTAGTTTACAAAAAGTTTATTATTTGATTTTACAATTATTTTTTTCCTCTCTCTCCCTCTCTCGCTCTCTCTCTCTATTAAAAACATTTATAACAATTCAAACTTTTAATTAAGTAATTAATATTAATTAACTTGATCAAACTTTATCAATATATATATATATATATTAACCAATAAAAATAAACCATTAAAATTTAAATTGTAAATATATTAATTGTTTTTATTTATTTTTTTTTTGAAAAAAAGTTTATAATCTAGACAAAAATAATTGTATAATAAAATACTAAATAAATAATAATTAATTATTTCAAAATTGTTTCAACATTATTTAATTTTGAGTTAGTGTTGAATTTATTATAATAATTAATTTTTACATTATTATTATTATATAGTTCATATAAATTTATACATATTTTATATTATAGATAATATATAATTGATGTAAAAGCTTGTATACTCTTAACATAATTTTTTTTAGTATATCTAATATATATATATATATATAGTACATACAGTATATAATTTATATATAAATTTTATATATAAATTATATATATATTTAATATATATTTGTAGTATATAAATAAAGTAGATATTTTTATTATATTTTTTTCTAGTATCTTGAAAAAAATATTACACATTAAGTATGATTTATTTATTGATATTTTAAGTGCCCAATATTAATAATACATTGACTATTATTTATTTTTAGACATTAATAATAATAATAATAATAATATACTTTTTTTTAGCTATTTTTACAATTATTTTTAGTTATTATTTTAGTTACAGATATACAGTATTATACAATAATATTATACAGTATTATTAACTACTGTAAGATATGTTATATATATATATATATATATATATATATATATATTAGTAATTAATATTATTTATATAAAATATTTGTAACTAAAATAATAACTAAATTAATTGTAAAAATAACTTAAATAGTATATAATATTAATCTTATTATTAATGTCTAAAAATAAATAGTTGTCAATATTTGTGTAATACTAATGCAATTTTTTTATAGTTGGTATGTTTGCAGATAATCATTACTAATAGCTTTTATATATAATTATATATATATATATAGTATATTGATATAAATCAAATTATTTAGCCTAGGTCAATAATATTTATATAATATCATTCAATAATATTAAATTAGATTTTATTTTTATATAATAATAATAATAATAATAAACAGTTTATTTGATTTAAACAGTATTATAATTTATTTATTTTTTTGATGTTTATTTTATAATCATATATCTAAAGTGATTTTTTTGTGTGTATTAATTGTTTAACAACTTTATTATTTATTACTAAATTTAAATCAATTTCCAAATCATATATACTATATATATATATATATAAGTAACTATTTAGTGCACTATATATACACAGTATATAAATATATATATTGCACAATATATACACAGTATATATATATTGCACTATATATACACAGTATATATATATATATATATATATATATATATATATTGCACTATATATACACAGTATATATATATATATATATATATATATATACTGTGTATATATAGTGCATATAGTATAGTGTACAACAAAACATATAGTGTATATATATATATATATATATATATATATTAAAAAACATATATCACAAAATCAAAACAGTAAATAATAATAATTTTTATATATATATATTATCTTAAAATCTTTAAAAAATCATATTATTTTTCTATACAAAAATTTTTGATTTTATTTTATTTATTTCCATTTAAAAACATACTTTTAAAACAAAATTACAGTATTATTATTAATACACTAAATATTTGTTTGTTATTGTTATATAACATAATCGCAAATAACATAATAATCGCATTAATTTTTTGTTGTTGATGGTTTTATTTATTGTTAAGCAGTTATTTTATCAAGATAAAAACAAATATTATTATTATTATTTATTTTATTTTTTTAAATATACATTATAAAATTTTTTTAAAAAATATTATTTCTAACAAAATTATTATTATTATTATTATTTCATGATTATCAATATTTATCATTATTTTATTTTAAGTGTCAACAACAACAACAATAATAATAAAATTTGATTTATGATCCTGGTTATTTTTCATAATAACAAAAAAATTTAAAAAACATTAGTTTTATATTTGTCTAATAATTTTTTTAGTCTAATAACTATTTAGTAATTATTTTTTTGTCACTAACTAATGTGTTTCAATATATATATATATATATATATATTAATTAGTTATATCATATTTATGATTATTAAAAAAAATTATTAAAATATTTAAAATTTTTCAGGATATTAAAAAATAAATAAATATTGCTTATTATATAACTTTAAACAAATTGATATATTTATTTATTTATATTAAATTAGTTTAATATTTGTCTAATAATTTTTTTTTAGTCTAATAACTATTTTGTAATTATTTTTTGTTTTGTTTTCATTAATTAATTTATTTCAATATATATATATATATATWTATATATATATATATATATATATATATATATATATATATTTAATTAGTTATATCAAATTTATGATTAATACAGTAATAGTATAATTTAATAATTTATTTTATTAAATAAATAAAATATAAGATTATATAATAATCAATACTATAGTTAGAAACTTAAACAAATTGATTTATTTTTTTTACTAATAAAAAAAATATTTATTAATTAAAAAATACATAGAATAATAAATATATATATATATATATATTGTTTTTATTATAATTTTTATTAATATTTATTATTATATTTATATATTATAGCCGTATCAGTATCGGTGTCCGCCTGGACACTGGTAGTGATGTCCGTCGAGCGCTACTACGCTATATGTCATCCGTTAAAATCCCGTGAATCCCGTCAGACAGTGAGTCACGCCTACAAAATGATTGCATTGGTTTGGATCAGTTCATTGGTAACAATGGCACCGATAGGTATTGTCAGCAAACTTCATGTTATGGAAAATACTGGT